ACATCTTTAGCAATAACAAAAAAAAAATGGTTTTAAAGTGCATAAATAATATAGTGAAATGATCATTCTCTAGCTAGATTTCTGTTTCCTTTTTCCTGCTTTTTCATCCTTTTTATCGGTTAATTGTTTTTGTGGACGKGGTTTCTGCCAGTCAAGAGAGTGTCTTTGAAAACATGGCCAAGGAGGAAGAACAACCTAAAAGCAAACATTTACAATATATTGATAAYAATACTTTGTTAATAATAAAAAATCACTAAGGATGTTGTTTGGGCTATATTGCTCTCTTATCACTTGTGTGGGTTAACAATATCAAATCACTCCAATAATTTTCATTTTGTAATTTACACTGAAGAGAATCTCCAGAAAATAATTTTCTTTTCAATGTCACAAATAAATGCACATTGTTGCAAGGTGAGGTACTATAAGTCATGTTCAATAAGCTGGGGAATCATAGAAGGGCATATTAAGTGATATAGAGTATATCATTGCAATTAGGGTAGATACAGGGGGATAGGGTTGCTAGCTATCTCCTTTTTATGGTTCAAAATGAAAAAACGTTCCATGGTTTCTGGTTGAGTTCATCCTTTTATGTGACTTTTGGACAGTTGTGGAAGTTCAATATAAACATCAATGGTTTTATTTCTTACCAAACAGCTAACGAGGAAGCCAGCAAACAGAAACAAAACTGTTGCTCCAAACTGTTGAATCCAATATCCCCAGATAAAACCTACAATCTGGTGAAAGTACAAACACTATTAACAGATTGAACTCTTTCATACATTCCGTAAGATAACAGCAAGTATCAGAACTTACACCAAATGCAAGGATTATAATATGAAATAACTTCTCTGCTAATTTTTGACCCTCGAAATCCTGAAAAAGAAAAGGAAATATACTCCATTAAACTGTCTCAAGAACAGATGAATGCATTAAATTTAATAAAGCCTTGACTGCTTTTCAATTGATAGAATAGCAGAATAGGCAATGTGCAATGATTCCATTTTATGCAGCAAAGAATGATGGTAGTTGATAGACYTCACACTTTTYATGACTGCTAAAACAGTCCTCTTAACACATTTTTGCTTTTTTTCTAATTGAAAATAGAAGTATTTTTGCTATTTCTATAAGAGAATGTAAAAACGGCTTTCAAAGAGATATTTTTGGAGCGATGAAAAGTGCGAGGACTACAACTAACATCATGCTTTACTCCACAAAATGGCCTTGCTGCTCACTGCCTATTGTRCTTAGGCACAACAAGTCCTAGTTACCAATCCCCTCTAAACATGCATGATTGTAGAAGTAGAGAAGATCCTGTATGAATAGCCGACTTGCGAATTAYGCATCAATAGTCACATACAAAGGAATCAAGACGAGGCGCCGTGCTTTTTTGTGAAAAATCTATTGTCTTTAGCACGGCGCCTCGTCTTGATTCCTTTGTATGTGACTATTGATGTGTAATTCGCAAGTCGGCTATTTGCTACATCACAGGCCATGACATAGGTTCACACTGGTCTGCCTTATAGTACATCCAACAACAAAAATATAATACTTTCTCATTGGTCAAGAGGAGTACAATTACAGCGTTAATTGTACTCGTTATAAAATTTTGTTTCACTGAATGTACTGTAAAAAAACAACCTCTTGTACAATCTGGAGTCACCGTCAAAACCAGAAGTACATAACTTCTGTCAAAACATAATTACTATTAATTMCAAATTGTATTCAAGGTCATGCAATTTCCTATACTAATAAATATCATTAACTTAGAGCAGACTTGGATAAACAATATAACAACATTATTATTGATTACTAGTATCATGATCACCTCAACAACTATATGCCCTAAATATATTCTYAAATCATTTTATTTTAAATTCGTTCAATCATCATCATACGGTAATCGCGGCTGAAATGCGAGCACATACACACATGTAGGTCAACTAAATATAAGTTAGCTTCTGACAGTGTTGCTGACCAATCACAGAACTCCAAGTATTCCATCGTCCAGAACATCGTCTTTACATGCAAAATCCTCGAATACCGAACAGATATACATACTTAAAGATAGCTACTAGTTAAACATAGCTTCCTTCAACCAATCATTACAGTATAAAACTCTCGGTGATAAGTTAAAAGACAATGGCCTCGCTATCACTCCAAAACGGAAATCTAACAACTAAAATTTTAAATTACTCATAGGTAGACAAATTCACTCACCATATGTGTTGGATAATTCTTTATTCTATCTACAATATTCATGATCGACGTTATTTAAGCAATGTCGTGACCAAATAAACTTTTGATAAAAGACTAGTTTTCAACTGGAACGATACGATGAATAAATACATCTGTCTGTGTCCCTGGGAACGAGGCCATATTTGTGAGCAGTATTAGTCCCACTCGGTTGTGCCTCAAAAAAATCAATAAATAAACGGAACAAAATTGTTAGATTTTTGTTAATGATAATAGAGTTTCTATTCTATCTCAGTCTTTTTATAAAACGTTGCATTAAAATTTGATTGTTGATGCTTCGGAATCAACGTTTTGTAAGGAAAAGCCACGAAATCGAATTGCCGAAAAAGCCAATACACGAAAGGTTATCGACGGGCGATCGACGGCTCTCAGCGTGGATGTGAAAAAATGGCGGGTTGTTCGAAATGGCTCCTTGTGGAACACCAATTTTCTCTGTTTGACTGGAAATAACCAAAAAATCCGTTCCAAAACCRCAAGAAAATTATGAATTTCTCCGAGCTATTTAAGCAGTCCGGTCAGCTCTGTAAATTTTCTCCGAATGGGAGATACTTGGTGAGTTAGCTTGATTAGCTTTTGCAGGTTTATAAAAAGTCCTTAATGTCTTACATATAAATTTATAAGTTCAATTAAGCTTAGCTAAGTTTTATCTCAGGCCAATTGTGTTGGGTACCGACTTATCGTRCGAGATGTTCAAACCCTTCAGATTTTGCAGCTATATACCTGCCTTGATAATATCCAAAATATTGAGGTAAGGTAGTATAATTAAGCTTTATAGTAATAAGCTTGGCAAGACTGTGAAAAGGTGCATGTTTTTACTTTGTAGTGGTCATCTGACTCCCTGTATATTATGTGTGCTATGCATAAAAGAGCCCTTATTCAGGTAATTAATAATAGTAATACTGTATGTGGCATGTAAATTGTTTTGTGAGCTTCMTTTTACCAGAGCAGACATTGTGTGTAACAATTGAAACACTGTCCAGGTGATGATAATTATATTGAGAACAGAAAGTCAAAATAATACAATGGCACACAAAATCAAGGATAAGAAAGAGCATCTTAATACATCTATCCTAAATTAATTATGAGTTCACTTCTCCCTGAAGAAATGTATAGATGGCAACAATATATCTATGATAATAAATGCTCAGTGTCAGAAGGACATCTAGAATAGTTTTTGACATATGCTTGAGAAAAATAAAAAAAAATATCAGCAAGTGAGTTCATTAATGCCTGTAATTTACTTTTCAATGAGGTAAATTCTCAGTGATTTGCATGTTGTGTGTCATATAGGTATGGTCATTGGAAAAGCCAGATTGGACTTGCAAAATAGATGAGGGGTCTGCGGGACTTGCTGGTGCACGATGGAGTCCTGATGGAAGACATATTCTAACTACAGCTGACTTTCAGGTTTTAATTATTTTAACCTTATTTTGTCTGCTAATGATATCTCATGTTATACTAAAACATTTTGTAATTATCATGTTATTTCATTATTTATAGCTAAGAATCACCATATGGTCTTTAGTAAGCAAGTCTGTTAGTTATATCAAATACCCAAAACATGCCTCTGAAGGTAATACCTTAATTCTTGAGAAATGTATTAATAGAGTCAAAATGTAATGAATTAAAGTATTTCTGTATGCAGGTCTTGATTTTAGCAGAGATGGTAAATACATGGCTTTAGCTGAAAGAAGAAATTGTAAAGATTTTGTCAGCATTTTTACATGTGACTCATGGCAACTCTTAAAGGTTTAAGCATTACGCTTACATATCTTGAGATAATTGTAATTATCAGTACATTTTGATTATTGTTCTATATTCTGTATCCTCAGCATTTTGAAGTGGAAACAAAAGACCTTGCTAGTCTGTCGTGGTCACCTGATGGTAGGGTTCTTTGTATATGGGACTCTATTACACAAGTAAGTACAGTACTATGGTATAATGGTCCATGATTCTGATTTGGTGCACTTACATGTAGTGTTTTAGCATCATAGTTATAAAGGGTCAGTTGACAGTGGGCCTGACTATTGCATACTCAATAGAGCGGATTTCGTATGAGTGGGAAACAGACGGTACTGTACTGTGACCGTAATCATACTGTAACCAAATTCTAGTGTCCCATCGGTTCACCAAAATTTTGCAGGCCAGGTCCAGTAACTGTGCGGTAACTATGCGGTAACGGTGTCCCACTCATACGAAATCAGCTCTAAATTCAGTTTCCATGATGCACACCATACTACATCATACCAAATCATAATCAAAAGATATGAATATGAGGACCGCATGGCACTATGATAAAACAGATATAGAAATGAAAGAAAGTTATAGTGCTTAGAAGGAGGCAATTCTGGGAGAAAGACTCAGCTGGAAGAGCATTGGTAGTACAAATCCAAAGGTCATGAGTTCGAATCCCAGCGAGGTCGGAAATTAATTTTTCCAAATTTATTCCTTAGGGTCTTTCTCTTGAATTGGAATTGCCTCCTTCTAAGCACTATAACTTTCTTTCATTTCTAAATCTGTCAGATCATAATCAGTGAATGTGTTGCCATTTGTGTTATCATCCAATTGATGAGAAGGTGTATTCTTCAGTACTTTCATGTTGTAAGGCTTGAAATTAGCAATTTATTGTTCGTGCTTTTTAGTATAAGTTATTTCTGTATTCTGTGGATGGACGGTGTCTAGCCTATTACAGTGCATATGAGTTTGCTTTGGGTATCAAAACTGTCACATGGTCTCCGTCTAGTCAGTTCTTGGCTATAGGAAGCTTTGACCAAAAGGTAAGTAAGAATCAAGTTCACATTGCCATGCTTCATTATTAAATCAAGTACATGCGTTTATTTATTTCACCAGTGCCGAGTGCTCAATCACATCACTTGGAAAGTAGTTGCAGAACACAATCATCCTAACACACTTGACACAGAAACAGTGGTAATAGCTTAGAGCTGTCATTTTCATCCCATTTTGCTTTTAGATGTCTATTTTTTTTTCTTTGTATTGAAGGTTGTTTACAAAGAGATTGAAGTCAAACCTCCTTTACTCCAAGGTGACATGATGCCTCCTGGAGGATTTACTGTCCAAAGCAAATGTGAGTCACTGATAGAGAACTTGCTTTATCACCCATCTAACAACACACTCTGTCTGAGTAGATTTCAGCTTTTTTAACTGTGGTCTACAGTCTCATTGGGTATCAATTTGAATGATTTATTTTGATAGTTATCATACAGACTTTATTGGGTTGGATGTAGGTAGGGGGACTGGAAATGGGGTAGAATTTACTAATTTTATTCACCCTTTGTACATCCAGGCCTAGCATAAATATTTATCCAAATTTTTGTTATAATCATAGATCAAATTGAGCAGGTTCCTGTTCAAGTACCATCTGTCAAACTTGACCCAGAGAAACACAACCCAAAGTTGGGTATTGGATATATTTCATTCAGCAATGACAATAAGTACATGGCAACTATAAATGGTAATTCTTCAAAAGTACTATTTCATGTTTTAGAAAAGTATAGTTTTCTTGTATTGAGAGCAAAAAATATAAGTGACAAACATAATATTTTAAAATGAAGTTTAGTACAGAATAGATGATTGAGATTACAAGTGTGTGGGGGAGGGAGGGGGTACTCTCTTCAAACTTGGGTGGGGTTGTGCCGCTGGGACCTCAAAACCCTGACCCAGTTCCAGAGTGAAATTGCTGAAAACTATACCCTGTTCAAGAGTATAATCGCTGAAAACAATACCCTGTTCCAGAGTAAAATTGCTGAAAATCCCCCGCCTCCCCCGGGTAAGTGTGTTTATGGTGCTTTGGGTTAAAGGTATAAAGAGCATTTGACAGCATCCACAAGTGGAGATTTGGCTGTATTCTGTCTTGACAGCAGAGGTCATCAATCCCTAGACCAATCTCATATTATTAACTACATAATGTGACTTTTTATCATATATATTTTGTATGAGATTATAGATAAAAAGACAGGAAGACAAAGTAAGTCACATTATTTAGTTAATAATGGGATTGGTCTAGGGATTGATGACCTCTGCAGAAAAATAGGCATGAATAATAGTTTTGATTGTTTGTTCTGACATGCTAGATAATATGCCAAATGTCTTGTGGATATGGGATGTTCCCAATCTTTGTCTGGCCGTTCTCCTTTTGCAGTCAAACCCAATAAAAGGTACTGAAATTACTGGACTAATGGTTAAGGCGTGTCTTCAATAGTCTGTGTAACTTGGTTCAGATTCATATGATGATCATGGGCACAAAACTGACAATATTTTCTTATGTAATTATTGCAGCTGTTTATTGGGATCCTTTACAGCCTCGTCTTGCTCTCTGCACTAATAACAACAAGCTGTATTTGTGGTCACCTGCTGGGTGTGTTTCTGTTGTTATCCCATCAGAAAGTAAGTCCATAATCATAGCTTCAGTCAGTTTTATTGAATTATTAAAATGAACTCCTTCTTCATGACAGATGTATTTCAAGCAACGTCACTAAAATGGCATCCAGATGGCAATAGTTTGGTGATTCTCAGCAAGGACCACCTCTGCTTGTGTTTCTTATCTGATGTTCACTGATCTTTAGCAGCAAGATCTTGAAGTATGTACTAAACTATAGCAATGAAGTCTAGTTTATGCTACACTGTATTCATAACAGTAGTTTCATTTATGCAATGACAGCACATTTGCTGTTCTAGTGCAGACATTTAAACCTTGAGAAGTACACTGATAACCAAATTGTGCTAAAAGCTCTAAAACGTTTTGTTGATTAGACTAGTAAATAAAGGATTCAGTAGTATAACTATGTCATGCTTTTAGTGTTTGTCCTTTTTATCTTTATTTTCATTCCTTTGGCGTTTTTTGTTCACTGAAGTACCATTTGTATTACAATATGTTAATTAGGTTAGCAATTATCCAAAACTGAGAAATCCTCAAAATGTTATACATTTTTTCAATAATCTTTTGTCATTATGGTCTTTTTTTTACAAAACTAATCATCTGTTTGAAATGGCTGAATGACATGATGCCATCACGTCCTTACTGAGAGTCGCTTCTCTTTTCTCTGCTCATTTGGTCCTTCATTAAAAACAGCTCCAAAGTGTAAGGTAACTCTGTTGAAAGTAAATTTATGAAACGATTATGATAAAACATTGGTGAACATAATGGGTTGATTCCTCGGCGTATAAGGTATATAGATAATTTTCCTGGTGATTTTTCTATTAGTCAATGMTGTAGGATATTCCTATTCTTACTTGTCTTTGGGCCATCGTTTCTTCTGATTTCTTTGGTCGTATCTCTCTTTTTTTCTATCTTCATGGCGGCCTGAGGTTTCGAGTCTGTCATCCTGTTATATTCTTCACAATAGAAAACAAGTAAAACTGTCATCAGTGCGAACTTTGAGATCTTGTGCGTTTAAGTTCAAACGAACATCTCAAGATTTAAAAGCACATCCATTCTGCTATAGCTGCAGCACTAGTTTGATATTGAAGTGTTTTGTATTGGTTTTATATAGAGTGATAAAAGGTACTTATTGAGTGGTATTTGTCGACTTACCTCGTATCTTAATGGACTGCTCGTAGGCAGGCATGTCAAAGAGTTTACCGGTATCCTTAACTCCTTTCACCACTTTATTCTCAATGCCATTTGTGCCTCTCTGGAAAGTTAGACTGAACGAAGCCACAACTTTCCTTATCGTGTCTGGATTGTGCCTCACTAAGCCCTTTCTGTTAACAAATAAGATCTTAAGTGTTGATATGATCACCAATTAAAGTGGCATCAAGTAAACTTGTACTTACGAAAATCCATGAACTTTGGCGGTTATAAACTTTGGATCCTTCTTAAACATCTGTTTAAACTATAAATGAGTATTATATTGATCAATATGAAACAATACTACGATCTTATAATTGTCTTAGTGATTTTCATGATCTCATCTCATTGACGCAAAATACAAAACAACAAATAAATCAAGAGCAATTGCACTAGAAAAAATGATAAAAGTGAGATATATTGACTACAATAACAACTCGCATATAATAAAACCCAAAACAAAGTACCACGAACACACCCTAGACCTGAAATATGGTTTGAAGCGGATCTTACTAATGTAACAATAATCGCTTTTTTCACTCTGTATTTTGCATAACTAATAATACTAAATTTAAAGAGACGTAAGAAATTACATCAAGTCTTGAAAGCGGAAAAAGAATACTACCTATTCCAGCTGGATTCCATTTAATTTAGTAGTGTTGAAGAAACGTACTAGAAAGCTAAAAGGAAACTATTGATCTAGGAAAATACAAATCTATAGAGTAAAATGGTAAAATAATAATATTTACTTGTTCCTAATTTTTTTAGAGATGGCATTGATATCTAGGTTATACAAAGGTATACTGCATTACTTGCACTGCACATTGATATCACCTGTTGATATAACACCCTTCAATTAAGAACACGGACTGGGTATGGATTTTCTTATATGCGGGTTTTTATTGTTTCATTCGTGATGTGTTAGTGAAGTAAACACTTACCGCTTCTTCTATATTTCCAGACAATATTTTGTATTCAGGACTATCTACCTTTGTAAGTCCATCTAACCAACTTTGCTTTAACTTGATGCTTCCAGTAAAGATTTGTGCTGAAAAACATTTAGGTATCTAATGAAGCTCCTTTACAAACTTTGCTCTAGTGTAAACTCAGTAATTGTCTTACTTGCTGGATTGGTAGTTAAATGTTTGAAATAATTGACTTTTGGTTTTTCATTTGGCGCTGCCCCATGCTGATTGTGCATGTAATGTGGTTGGATTGGTTTTATGGCTGGTGGCTTTGGTGTTGACGGTTTTCCGATGGTAGACTTTCTCTCGGGTCGAATAGTACTTGAAATGCCAGGGTTGTACTTTGGTTGAGGAATTCTGACTACTCTAGCTTTTACGGTGGTCTGCACGGGAGTATCTTGGAGTGGTGTTTCTGAGTGGTATATAATCTTGGGTTCCTCTGGAGCAATGTAGGATTGGGCTAGTTGGGTTGCAGAGCTACTGTATGATAACGGGTTTGGCTGAAGATAAGGCTGGGGTGGCACCACTGGTGGCATGAAGTTCGGTGTGGCAGCCTGAGTTTTAATAGCTTTAAAAGATATATAATTACAGTCTTAGTATTTTCATTATGGCAAAGACTGATTTAAATAAGAATCCAAATCAATCATACAGCCATTGCACTATATGTTACCATAAAAAAAAGACTTATACATTACATTGACGTGTTCTTCTGTGTTTATTCGAAAACATTTTGGTCTTTATTTTACTTACCTGCATTCAATGGTCGAACGCTTTCAACGTGAAGGAAATCCCCTTGAGTTGGTTCGGTTACACCCTCTATAAAGCCAAGATAAGCACAAAAATAATTTCACTGAATTGACACGGCTTTCTGCTTCGATATCTGTCTTGTGTTTACCTGTAGCATAGATTGAGCTCCTGAAAAAACCTCCACAAATCTGTGTTTTGTCTCCCTTGCAAGCAGTACTGCATTGACTTTCATCAAGTCTAGGGTACTTCCCATAATTGTCACCACAACGGCACAAGTACCCGTACTGTAAACCGGCGTACGCGTGGCCAGCGTCTTTGCAGGCCAATCGACAGTTTGTAGGAGTGAGATTTCTTACCGACAATGGAATTGGCAAGTCGCGGTTGGGGCTCTGGTCAGCATAGCAACCAACATAACCTTGATGACAATTTGAACTAATGTTTAAATAAAGAAAGATTTATGATTGTCATTTGAAGTTTAATCGTCCTTACCGTCTTCTCTGATAGCTCTTTCGTGAATCTCAATAGCGGGTTCACTTTCATCTTCTTTGCTGTTCATGCCTCCATCATTTGAGTCCATAGAATCGTCTGTTTTAGAATAGATGGCTGGCTCTTCGATAATCGTCACATGGGTTCGAGGAATTTCCTTCTGATGAACAACACGTGGCTCATAAGGATTGCTTTTTCTTGTCTCTGTTTGATCAATGGCTTTTTTCTTTTTGCTGATTGTTTCTTGGTGTAGTAATTTGGTTTCGATCTTGTCTTTTTTGAACGTTAATGCATCATCTAGGGGAATGACACTATCTGGATAGATCTTCTCCCCTTGACCTGTGTTTACGTCCATGTCTTGATCTCTATAAAATCGTCTTACTAGGCTTAAACCCGTCAGTCCCTCAGTGTTTTCCTGATAAACCTCTCGTGCGGTCTTTGTGACCTTTGATTTCCTTTTGCTCGTGACGACTGCAGGAATAGGGGGAGGTTCATTGGGCGTTTGTGGCTCGTGACTCGCTACTGTGTCTCCTTTTAAGTTTCTGAAGAATGAAGCTAGTTTTTCTTCTAAGCTATTGTCAATTTTTTCTCGCTTACTTCTGTGAATGATTCCAGCGCCTTCAAAGAACTCATGCAAAATATCATTGCCTTCAACAAAGCTGTCGCTACTACGTTTCTGTTTTGGATGAGCGTGGTCGTCTTGTTTGGTACTTGCTTGTTGATGTAGCTCTTCTGCAAGGTCTGACACTAAGTTTGCTTGTTTTGTTTCTCCACTACCACTACCAGACTCCACATGGCCTACTTCCATATAGTGCGAGTTCGACGCTGCAGCAGAAAAGAACTTTGGTAGATCGTCGTCGGAACCGGAAGCTCCCCATAGTCCAGAACCGGACGACGTGTCCTCTGTCTCATGATCACGTGGTTGATCACTCAAAGCAGCAACTATATTCTCAAGAGAGCTTTCTTGAGGAGTTTTATTCTCGTTTAACATGCTATTTGCTTCCGAATCAGATATCCATACTCCAGAAGCGGAACCTGAAGAAGTGTAGTCGCTTTCCATCCCGGAACCTAAGGTCGATCTTTTTGCTGGTTGCTTAATTCCCTTATTCTTTCCTTCTCTTATTAGAAATCTCTCCATACCCCTGGCTGTTATGTCGTTATCTTCCCTGGATGAGCGAGATGATCTAGCCGCCATTTTGTTCGGATATTTCTCGATGTCATTGTTGTCATTTTTGTCTTCTGAATGGAATCGTTTTTTTCTTCTGATTTCTACATCGTCCTCAAGACTTTCAATTTCTTTGAACAATTCCATATCACGCCTGTGAAGCCGCTGACCAGTGTCACTTTCTTCCTGGTCACCTTTTCGTTTCACTCTTAATAGTTCTTTTTCTATAGGAAGACCTGGAAAACAGAACATTCTTTGAGAACCAACTTTGACCCGAATTAAACCTGACTATTAAAGTGTAGATGGAGTTGTACTTACCAGTCACCTGATAGACCATCAGAACCATCAGGGTTATGCATAATATAGCTACAGTTTTCATGATCACGTGACTTTAGGCGATCTAAGCCCTGATGTCTCAATCTGATGAAAAGACAAGCGGATCATATGAATATTTTGGCGGTCATGCAGTGTGTCTTTTTGTTAAGATTTTGTTTCGGATTTTTCATAGGAAAATGTTGGTGCTTTTCAAGACAGAACTGAATGGGAGGGACTCCAAAGAAATCAAACTTTGGACCATTCTATTCAGTCATCAATATCATTCTTGAGATGAGTTTTGATTAGCGTAGATTTCATAAACTCTTAGTTAATTTTGGCAGTTTCTTTTCAAATTCAAAGGCGAAGTGTATTTTTAATCGTTAAAAGGAGACATATCTAATAAATCTCATTGTTACCAACTGTTCTAAAATTAAAAGAAGTCTTCACACTGAAATTTAAAACAAATGTACATGTTCTCGCGCCACAGTTGTGGCTTGCTTCATCAATGAATTGTTATCCTTTTGCCTTCATTTCTTGAGCTCTATTTAACCATGGATGCGAAGATTCTCTAGAAATTTTTATCTCAACGTACTTCTTATTTATAATAAGGCTTTATTGATTTACATTTCTACAATGAAGATATAGCTGATTTCAAACATAGAAATGTTTCTCAACTTACCGTCAGACACAAGAAGTACGCTCCAGCATGTGTGGAAATCGCTTCAATTGTTGCAGTTTTAGTTTGTTGCTGCTATTCTAAATACGTTCTCGAGAATCTTAGTCCTTTGATTCTATCTTATTAGTAATTCATGTTTAACATTTACTAAAACGGGTCCTTTCAAGCGTTGTATCTGGTACCTGTCTCAGTGTTTCGGATGACATGCTTGATCAACTCCTAAATTCTCAATATTCGTTTCCTCGTGTAATCTCTAATATGATAACGAGAAAATTGTACAACATCGCTCATTTATTTTGGTTAAAAGTTAACCATTCAATTTTATAGAATACCGTGACGCCGGTGAAAACCAGTCAGCGGTTAATATTCCAAAGAAAGTCAATGATAGTAATCGTTATTTATATCATGACTATGATGCTTGTCATCGTGTGGAGACGGTAGCCATAGATTGTGATTAGACAAAGTAAAGATAAGTGCTGATGATGTTTTATCTAATGTTGACACTAGAAAACAACAGACAGTTTGTGCGATTTTGAAATTTATGTTTTCATTCCGACTAATTTTATTAATTGCCGAGATCACAGCAATATCTTCAGGCTTCTAGATGGTGCTAATCTGAATGCAAATGAAGAGCCCTTGCATGTGTTAAAAACGGTTTGTTTAAGAATGGCTCGTCAAAAACAATTCATGTCATCCGATTATTTCTTCTCTCATGTTGATAATTATATGAAAAACCAATTGAGGGACTCTTTAAGGAAATTACATGGGCGCCTATRCGAATCATTAGATGGCGTTATTCTCAGCCATAATCGTTTAATCAACTATGTTTTCCGTTTTTCTTTCCGCCGGATAATTAACGGTACCCACGTTTTTTCTTTGCCCTTCTCTTAGCGTTAGGAGGTTCTCGACTTGTCTTGTTTTCCTATGGAACATGTGGGCATGGAAGGCTTCTAAAATCGATGAAGAAGTAAGGAACTGTAAAACAGTCTTCAACGCGTTGTACCTTCAATCTGTGTTTTCATCGATTTCAGCTGCAGTGCTCTTTTTTATCAGTCAAAATGTTTTATTGCGTGATTTACAGATTGGTTTTCATTAACACGTGACACAAAGTTTAATAATGTGATAGTCTGATAAGACAAAGAAAAACGCACAAAATAAAGAGTAATAAAGTTTGGTGTGCTAAAGTCTATTTCACGGGTTAATGACAACGACTCAATTTAATGGAAAATGCGTCTTTTGAGTTGTTTACATGTTATTCGTATGAACAGATCAAACGTGAAGTTATCTATAATTACATTTAATTACAATAAGTGGCAATTCGCAAATTTCGTCATTGATCTTTAAAATTTTGTTACTTTACCCTTGCAATGATGTAAGATGTACGTGTAAGCAGGGTTTTATTTTCTGATTACTAGCAATAGGCGTTTTCATACGAAATATGACAATGGTCACTTGCCATGTATATGGCAGCCAGGGGTTATATCCAGGTAACTTTTCATGAAATAAGCTAAGTACTGAAATATCGATAAATCATCCCATAGCTATAAGGGATGGTAACATTAAAAGTTCTAGTTCTTTGACGATGACAGTTGAATCAGTTATGAAATAACGGAGGAAAATTGTTCATTCTGAACACTGGTAACTACATTTGTAAAATGGAACCTCGTACTAAAATGACAAGTGAATAATTACACATCACGGGCACATGTACATAGGAGGTTTGTATAGATTTGAACTAGTATTCTGGTTGTTGTAATATAGATCACAAGGACAGTTGTTGTATCTATCACTTTTTGTAGTACGGTTATATACGATACACTAAACCAACAGCTTTGGACTTGAGTCGAAAAATCTATCTTGCCGACCTCCAAGCATAATAATAGCGCGTCTTTTCAAAAAATTTTCATGACAACAAAGCTTTAATTGGTGTTTTTTTATCTCATTACACAAAGCTCATTGGGTGGTGAACTCGTTTATCCTACGACTTGTTTGCTCCTCATGATTCTTATCTGTCAGAGTTTCATGGATATTTTGACCTACTAGTTGTTGTCCTTTAATATGACATCATGGAAGTAAACACGACTATCAACATCCAAAACAATCATTGTTTAGACCCTAATCGGGTAGACCAATGACAATGTTATGTAGATTGTTTCTCCAGTTTTCAGTATTGCTAACTTCCCATGTATTATATTAGTTTACAACCTAGTTCTGCTATTTTTTCCTAAAACTTTTGACTAAAACCTGCGCTTATTTTTCCTCACCGAATTATTTGGTTCAACAGTTTTTAATAAATATTAAAGTCTTAACTTGGATTGTAATGAATAAAAACTTTGCAGCCGTTTTAAACCATGTGAACAGGAAAAAATGAACATGACAAGTACTTAATTAAACGGCTAAAACGGTTTATTAATCCAATTATAATTTAGTTTGTCCATAGGATATGTACGTCGACCTTGTGTTCTATTACTAGGACTAGAAGATTAAAGCAATTGATAATCACCATAGTCCGATCAGTTTGTGTAAGAGGTGGGCGGAACGGATACCATTTGGTTGTCAACCAATATAAAGTACCTCCAGCTAGGCCGAAATAATTTTAGTCCGTCGTACAACCATCGACCTCAAACCAGAATGATTTTTGGGAAAAACATGTCTCTACTTATTCATATTATTGTAGTATTAGTCTTAGTGCAATTTRTAATTCCTGCGTGGAGTGACGAAGATCTAACACAAACTGCAGAGTATAATTCAGATATAGAACAAAGAGAACCGCAAAGGAGAGGGCCATGTTGGTTTATCCGATGTTCAAGGAGGAGAAGGAGAAGGAGGAATTATATCAGAAAGGTTAGTGAATTGCATGATGACACAGTGTTCCCTATATGTGTGAAGTATATATTTGTCATGCTATGATATATTTCTAGTCTTTTTTCCTTGCTAACACCTTTTCAATATACATAGACAGATTGAAGCTACATGTATATATCATAACTACTGCTAGTACTGTACATAACTGACTGTAAATGTGTTTTCGTCAAGGACAGGTTCAAAAACCTAAATCATTTCGATTTTGTGTTAATTATCGTTGTAATTGGGTTGTTGGATACCTTAGGCAAAACCGAAATGGATATGAAGAACAATAGGGGTTGAAAACACATTAAAATTGGCTATACAATACCTCAAGGTTTTATATCTCTTTATCCAAATACCTAATAAATTATTGAAGAAAATAGTTCAAGAACCATCAAAACAGCATATAGTTTGATTATTTTTTTCCTTTTGACATTAAAAAGAAAATGACATCCTCCTTTACCAAAACAAAAGTGTTAATAACGATGTAAGCTTTCCCTGGAGGGTTAAAACGTTACGCTGAATACTCGCAAWCAATATTCATAACCATGATGGCATGATGTAAGGCGGGTATTAATAAAAAACAACAACACCTGCACGTTGAAACAGATAAACTAGTAAAACACTCTTATCTCGCTAGTATTGGCTAATATATGAAGTGATCTGCAGGTCTCTCTATCTCGTGATAATTACAATCGATATCAGAAAAACCCCATGGAGGGAGCATAAAACTACTTTAAATTTAAGATCTTAGTAATGTCGTTTTTATCAGTATTTTTGAACTACAACTTTAATACTGAAGTAGAAAATATACGAATCTATCAAAAGTGGAATTGCAGTACTGATAGACTTATGGACATTCGAGATAAAACTGAACAACAAAAACCATATAGGAGCTTCTGGCTAGTTGGCTAAGTTAATAGACACCACTAGAAAAAAAAGCCGGACTTGTTGTCTTTTTTTAGAATACGCCAGAACTTAGGGCTGTATGAAATAGTTTTCTCAACTATGTTCAATTCTCAATATGTCATGAAAATATTCATGCGAATAAAGATAGACACTGCACTGTTACTCATTCAATACTCGTATTGAATAAAATTGAGTTATATATTATGAGGTTATCATATATTATGAGGTTGATCTGTTATGAACGCCATGACAGCGGGTTATATCGTACTTTGTGAGCAGCAATGGAAGATCAGGAACCGCTTTATAGGCAAAGCAAGGAAAGCCTTTAATAAATGGTCTGGCATCATTAACGTTTCATTAGAGTGGTCACGCGTGGTGAGGAAGACATGGTTTCCTGAATAAAACCGGTAATGGCGTAGATCAAGTGATATCTCGCGAGGTACACCACCTGTCTTCATTCACACCGTTTGAACACTACAATCACCACAACTCACTGATGTGTATTCGTTTAGTATTCCATATGCCGACTTCCCTCTTTTTCCATTCTTTTCATGACCTCATCATTTATAAGAGCTTCTACTTCGTTTTGTCCCTGATTGGCATATGTAAATATAATAGGTGTAGTCCAATTTCAGTTGCCAAATGTACAAACAGTCTAATTTGACTCAATCTTTAAATTATCTGTTTGTTGCCTTTTTAATTAGCGTCGTTTTCCGCTTACGCTATAAATCATTCAAAATGGCATCCTCCATTATTACAACATGCCAATAGGTCAGCCTACAGAACGACAGCTTATGCAATTACGTTGCACCTTAAGAGACAAACTCCGCGCTGTGAGTGTCTTCAAGAATTGGTCGTTTGTGTTTATCCCTAGATAACAAATTGAGCTCAATCCCAGAAAGACAAATCGATAGAAAACGACAACTGTACATTAATAAAAATAGTATTTCAAAGTCAACTGATCAGAAAAGCTAATCATTTGGACTTTTAATGGATTTTATTGCCAAGTAAAATCCCCCTTCAAAAGCATTCCCGAATGTGAACCAGAGACTTCGTTGTGGGGGCTAAAACAATGACGTCACAAATGCTAAGCACCGCTGGTGAATATTTGAGTCCGCGGTTTTCTGCGATGTCTTACTTTCTTCCAAAACACTGCGACTGAGCAGGTGTGAATTACATGTGATTGGAATTAAGCAATAATAAATGTCTGACGAACACCAATTGTATTTGTGATCAAAGCCTATACTAAAAGCTTATATTTTTCTTTCTTTAAAAGAATTMCTTGCCGTTCTCATGTGAAAAAAATTCAATTATCCATTTTCCAATACTGAGAATATGAAAAGCGACTTTCAGCCGGAAATTTCCTCCTTACATGACTCTAAATTCAATAAATTATATAGAGTTCTGAACTGAATGGGTGATAAAGTGTATAGCAAAATCAATTAAAGGGAAGACACTTCCATACAGAAGACCGAAATTCAAAAACAAGAGTGTTATTGATTGGGAAAGCTGCTATTTGTGAACGGCCCATTTACGCTGAACGCCTTTGTCGACGCCTACCCACGAAAGGATTACGGATGAATTTGATGATTCGCTGATTTGAATAACAGCAAAACTGTTTTTGTCACTACTGCACTATTCACATTCGAACTCAAGTCTTTTGTAACAATATTTTGATTTTTTTACGGCGCTATCTTTACTTTAAAATGTGTTATTTGTTTTTCCACGTTTAATTTTTTAATTTTTTTGATTGGCCACCAGCTGCAATAGCGACTACAATTTTGAAACTCTTCAACGATCTTTGATGTCATATATCACGCTAAAACGCTTTTGAAAATTGTGATGACAAGAGATTGAGATATTTATTGATGCGGATGTCGACGTTTTGATATATTGTATTAGGCTTTCAAGACATATTTTGTCAACACTGAATACTGAGAAATGACCACGATTTGTTTAACAA